GTGGTGCCCCGGCCCCGCCCTTCGCTCCCAGCGGCGACACGGGCCGGCGCCGCCCCGCAGCGCGCCCCGCCCCTCGTGACGCGCACGGCGGGCGGGGGCCTTGGCCGGAGCGCAGCTGAGGAGCCCTGCGCGCCCACCGCCGGCTCCGTCCAGCTGTGACCGCTGGGCGAAGGCGGGCAGGCTGTCAGGTGTCCCGGGCGCTGGCAAGGCAGGTCTGATCCGTGTGTGTCCGTGTCTGCGGGGACTGAGCGCCCGCCGCTTCTGGGTCACGGCTGCAGGCGGCAGGAAGGCCAAGGACAGATGCTGGCTGCTGCGCCTCGGATTCTGGGCTGCTGGGGGGCGGGGGGAATGGGAAGGAAGGGACATGGCTCCAGAAAGCCGCCTTTCTAGCCATGGGTCCGCGGGGGTAGGCTGAGCCTCTAAGCCTGGGGACACCGGCCCCAGCTGGGGCGCTTCCCTGTGTAGGCACCCACAATGCCTTGCTGTTGCGAGATGGGCAGCCAGTTGCCCATGAGAGTGGGAAGCAGGAGGCGCGCTTGTGTGGGGCTCAACCCGCTGCCAGGATCGTGATTTATGCGAGCTACAAACAGTGCAGCTGCGGGTAGGCAGTCAGCCTCAGGCTGGGAGCCTGTAGCTAGAATCATCCCAGACTCCCGTGGCTTGATGCCACGTGGTCTGAACCCCAGGGAAACTGGGAGCTACTTGCTACCTCTGGCCTTATTTCTGTAGGGCCCTGTAGGTATTTGTCTCCCACCACTTCCTCGCTCCCCCCTTCAGCCCCCTACCCTAACTTCTGTGCACAAACTTAGCCATCTGTTGTTAAAGTTTGGCAGGTGAAATGACGTGGTAAATATACAGGTGTACTTTCTGGAGAGCATTGGCGGCTAGGCATTCAAGGTTCCTTTTCATTGGCCGGAGGGACCAAGGATAAACAGCCAGACCCAGGAGCCCTGCAGAGGACTGGTGGGGAGACCCCTGGAAAATAGGTTCAGAAGGTTGATGGTCGTGTTGATTCTTAATCGAGAGTGCCCAGGTGTCACTCATATTAGCAGGGCATTTAATTGACGAAAAGACCTCCATGCTTATTGAGGAAAGAAAGGAATGATTCCGGAAGAAAAGGAAAATCAAAGGCCTCTAGTGCTATGGAGGCAGGGACCTGCCAGAGCCAGGGACGAGCTGGGTAGTCCAGGTGAGGCCGCCCTTCATGGGTGCCCAGTGTCTGTAGCATCTGGTCTGTACCAGACCGCTCCCTGGATGGGAAGGAAGGTGCCACTCTGGAGTTTGTGCTCCAGGAGAGCAGAGGCCTGAGCACAGCCCCTGGCCCTGGAGGGCTGTTTGCTGACTGGTGGACAGGATTGGGCATGTGGTGGGGCTGGGGTGGCTGCTGTGGTGTAAGAGCTGACTCTCACACCTTGCCTCACTGCGCTATTTCCAAAGCAATTAGACGAGTTAGGTAGTGATTAAAAGACAAAAACTCACTACCATCAAGTCAATGTGGACTCATAGTGACCCTATAGGACAGGGTAGAACTGCCCCTGTGAGTTTACAAGATTGTAACTCTTTAGGGGAGTTAGAAAGCCCCGTAGAGACACCTGTCTTTTTTATATAGTACTTCACAAAGTTTGTGGGAAAATTCCATTGTCTTTTAATTCATGTTTCACAAACTTTATAAAGCTTTGCTCATATATATACATATACATACACACATATATACATAAATACAGATATACACATATACACATATATACATCCCTGGGCTACTAATTAAAAGGTTGATCGGTTAAACCCACCTGGAGGAGGCTGGTATTCCGAGGCCCAAAAGTCCCCTCCTTGAAACCCTGTGGAGTAGTGCTGCTTCCGCCCACGTGTGGTCACCGAGACTCAGAACTGGCTGGACAGTAGTAGTGGGCACAGGCCAAGTGCGAGTGGGCCTGTTTGCAGCATTTATTTATAGTAGTGTGATCTTACATCGAGCATTCGCTGTGAAAAGAAAACAGACTACACTGTAGATATAAGGCAACGATTCCCCCTCCCCCAAATATTTCCTTGCTCCACAAATATTAAACATCAGACAACTGCAAAACCAACTGGGTCGTCGTGGTGTTGTGAGCATGTGCAGTAAGGCTGACTTGACCTGGCTCTGTGGCTTCGATTTCCGGCAGTGAGGAGGCCTTTCCAAACATAAGCGGACGAAAGCAACCACTTCCCTTTCTGTCACCATCCGCCAGCAGCTTGAGCAAGAGCATTCCGAGCACCGCAGAGAAGGTGATGTAAACTCGGGAGGGGAAGAGGGCCTGGATTTGTGCTGCTGTCCCCATGTCTCTTGCAGGGAGGGGTGGGGAAGGTAAAGTAGTCTTTATCACTATGGGGGCTCGGGGGAAATAACGCAGTATTTGTTGCTCCAGGGGCTGGGCGAGTACAACACAGTATTTATTATTACCAGTCTGTTTTCCAGACCACTCATCAAAGCCTAGATGAGGATCAGCCTTGTGTTCTTTTCAAGAAAGGGAATCGGCTGAACGACTCTCATCAGACAAGCAGGTAATGGTTTATAATGGCCTTCTCTCAGAAATGACAAGTGCTTTCCATCCTCCGACAGCATTTGTGTGCATTGTGTGTGTGTGCATTGTGTGTGTGTGTGCATTGTGTGTGGGGGGTGGGGTGGGGGATATGTCTGCGGGTTAAACAACAACCAGTGAACACGAGCAGGTGAACTGTGTTTAAGCATGGCTTGTTGGTAAAGATTCTAGAAGACCCAGTTTATAGAATCGGCAGCTCAGCTATCCTTCCTTTCCACGTTGGTTTCCTTTTGTGCACAAGGACCCTCTTTGTCTAACAGAGGTTTATCGAGAAAGCCTTTCTGGCCGGGTCAACACCTGTGAGGAGGAGACCAGAGCAAACCCCGCATCCCAGAGTCAGCACTAGCTCGTAGCAACCCTGTGAGGCAGGGAAAACTGGCCCCTAGGTTCCTGCATCCAGAGGGAAGCTGGCGGCCACACCTTTCTCCCGTGGAGCAGTTGGTGAGTTTGAACCGGGAACCTTTTGGTTGGTTAGCAGCTGAGCACTTAACCACTGCACTACCAGGACTCCTTGTCAAGACACAGTATCGACTAAAAGTATAGGGTTGTTGTTCTTTGCGAATGACACATGCATGGAATTAATGAATAATGTGTGTGTGAGAGAGAGAGAGAGAAAGGGGCACAGCAAACCTACTGGTTGATTCTGACTCTGGCAACCCTCTGTACCAGTGGTTCTCAACCTTCCTCACGGTTCTCAACCTTCCTCACGCTGCGACCCTTTCCTACAGGTCCTCACCTTGTGGTGACCCCCAACCATAACATCATTTTCGTTGCTACTTCATCACTGTCATTTTGCTACTGTTATGAATCGGGCGACCCCTGTGAAAGGGTCGTCCGACCCCCAGGTTGAGAACCACTGCTCTCTATGGTGGTACCCCCACCATACCACCCACCGCCAAAGTGTTGGTTCTGACTCCCAGCAACCTGATAGAGGGCTTTTGAGGCTGTCAATCTTAACAGGAGCACGCAGATAGCTTCTCCTAGGGAGTGGCTGGTGGGTGTGAAAGGCCGACCTTGTGTCATAAGACCAAGGCGTCCACATCAGTGCCGCGGGACTTGTTCATTCCACATCACATCTCCCCATCTCTGTTGTGCTGGACAGCACCACGTGGCTTTATGTCCACCCTTGGAAGCACAATGTTCTTGGGTGTGCCTCCTTTTTGGAAGCATTTTAATAGCTTTTCAGTGAATGTAGGAGCCTTGGTGATACAGTGGGTTATGTGTTGGGTTGCTAACCTCAAGGTCAGTAGTTCAAAACTACCAACCACTCCAATGGAGAAAGATGAATCTTTTTGCTCCCATAAAGATTTACAGTCTCAGAAAGCCCACAGGGACTATCCTGGCAGTCGCTGCAGGTCAGAATCTGCTTGATGGTGGTTCTGTAGAAGGTGCATTTTACCTTACTTGCAGGTCCTTAGAAACCCTGGTGGTGCAGTAGGTAACATGCTGGGCTGCTAGCCACACGGACAGCACTTGATAGCCACAGCCCGCTCTGGGGGAGAAGATGAGGTTTTCATCTTCTCCCGTAAAGATCGACAGTCTTGGAAACCCAGTGGGGCAGCTCTGCCGTGCCCTCAGATAGGGCTGCCGTGAGCTGGAATGGGCGCGATAGCAGCAAGTTTGGTTTGGTCGTGAAAGGTCGTCTAAGGCTGGCACCTTTCACACCTGCAGTTCCCTTGTTTATGCCAGTCAACGCGGTGGCTGTCTCCTGAAGCCTTGGAACCCCCAGAAGGGTCAGTCCCCATAAGAATGGATTCGTTGACCTGGGCTGGGTGGATTT